CTGCATGCTTTGATGTTAGAGTTGGGGGAGAGATAAAATGGGCGCCTTTTGTTCAATATTTTGGGGGGCAGAGGGTTGCAGTTCAATGGGATGATGTGGACAAGTTGTCCATCTTTGAAATTATGGGTATCTACAATAAAGCTGGTGGAAAATCTTCAGTTGTGGATATATATTCACATAAGCCTGGGAAGACCCTACAGACAGGAAAGCTAATGAAGATTGACTCTGATAAAGATATCCTTAAGTTGGTGAAGATGTACAATGGGGTTTATGTGATTCCACTATACTTTGAGGACTTACAAGGACCTGTACAAGGGATAGACAATATGGGAACCTCATGAGTTCACAAGAAGAGATACCTCTTCTTGAGTATCCATATACTCAAGAGAGCTTTATAAATGAGGCTGTTGAGGAAACTACAGAAGCCATACCAGAACCAAGCTATATGGGTGAACCTGAAGGGCAGAAATATGATCTACCTTTTGAAGATGGAGCACAACATGAGTTTGAAGCACAACAGGGTGGATCACATGGTGGCCAACAACAGAAGATGCCTCATGAGTTTAATGCACAACACAGTGGATCACATGGTGGCCAACAACAGGAGATGCCTCATGAGTTTGATGCACAACACAGTGGATCACATGGTGGCCAACAACAAGAGATGCCTCATGAGTTTGATGCACAACACAGTGGATCACATGGTGGCCAACAACAAGAGATGTCTCATGAGTTTGATGCACAACACAGTGGATCACATAGTGGCCAACAACAGGAGATGCCTCAGGAGACTACACCACAGGGACAATCTGGATCACATGATGAGGATGAAGGACACCACAGTGAGGATTTAGATGATTTAGAGGATGAAATGTATGTACCTGGCCAAAGTAGTGATGACATGTCATCTGAATTGTCTGAATGGGAGTTAGAAGATTTAGAAGGCCCTGAAGATGATGATATATTCCAGCAGAGGGATCATGGTCATGCTAAGAAGGTTCACAAGATGGCTAAAGAATGGATGAAACAGAGAAGAAAGAAGAAAAAAATAGCAAGAGAAGAAGCTGAAAAGAAGAAAAAGTCTAATGAATCAGATTGGTACAGTGACATTGAGGATGATGATGAGCAGTTCTTTCAAATGGATGATGAATAGAATGATGGCATGAATATGGCAAGGTTTGAGCTAAAGGTTGGTCTGAAATTTCCAAACAGAGCCAAATTCAAGGAGGTTCTTAAAGACTGGTCTGTCAGAAAAGGTTATGATTTGCAGTATCCCAAGAATGAAGCTAAGCACATCACAGCAAAGTGCAAAATTGGGTGTGACTGGTCTTTGAGGGCCTCAGTCATATCTGACATGTCAACATTTCAGATCAAGAGCCTGAAAGGCACACACTCTTGTGCTTACAGAACAGAAAACAAACAGACAGATTACAAGTACCTAGGGAGAAGGATGCTTTAAACTTTGAGAGACAATCCTGCTGAGCCACTCCACAGTCTGAGAAACAAAATTAAGAGAGATTGTGGGGTTGATATAAGTATTCACAAGGTGTACAGAGTTAGAGCTTATGGTTTGTCATTGTTGAAGGCTGACATTGGGGAGCAATTTAGGAGACTGTATGACTATTGTACCACTGTAGTCAAGTACAATCCTGGTAGCACCCTTATCCTGAAACTGAACCATGACTTCACACCTCCAATGTTTGTCAGGATGTATGTTTGCTTTGGTGCAATGAGGCAGGCCTTTGTGACTGGATGCAGGCCCATTATAGGACTTGATGGATGTTTTCTGAAGACTATACATGGTGGTCAACTACTATCAGCTATTGGCAGGGATGGCAATAACAACATGTTGCCTATTGCAATGGCCTATGTGGAAGTTGAGAAGATGGACTCTTGGAATTGGTTCATTCAAAGATTGTTAAAAGATATTGACCCATACCTAGAGAAGAAGTGGACCTTTGTTTCAGATAGACAGAAAGGCTTGCTTGATGCTGTTGGTCAAATCAAAGGGGCAGAACACAGGTACTGCTTGAAGCACATTTACAACAATTTCAAGCAGAAATGGGGGGATTTGGAATTAAGAAAGTGGTTTTGGAAGGCAGCCAACACATACAATGTGAGAGAACACACTAGGTGTATGAAAGAAATCCACAGACTTGTCCCAAAGACAGATGGAAAGGTGACTCCATTTGAGTGGCTTAAGGCTATCCCTGAAGAGCACTGGGCAAGATGTTTCTTCACTTCCAATGCACTGTGTGATGTTATTGTGAATAATCTGTCAGAGTCCTTCAACAGTTACATCTTGGAAGCTAGAGATATGCCTATCATAGACATGTTTGAGTGGATAAGAAGAAGAATGATGGCAAGGATGCAGGTCAAGAGAGTTTGGATTGAAAAATATGCAGAGGATATATGTCCAAACACAATTAGAAAAATTGAAGAACAAAAGAGCTTGAGCAGAAACTGTTACCCAACTTGGGGTGGAGAAGATAAGTATGAGGTGGTGCATGGGGTTCAGAGTCATGTTGTGCAATTGAATGCTAGAAGTTGCACCTGTGGCATGTTTCAGTTGGTTGGGTATCCTTATTGCCATGCATTGGTATGCATCTCATATCACAGGTTTAATCTTTCTGACTATGTGTTTGATTATTTTAAAAAAGAAATGTATGTGAAGGTGTATAGCCATATGATCAACCCTGTTCCTGGGATGAATGACTTTGAGGAGTCTGAAATGGGCCCAATTCAGCCACCTGATCCTATGAGAAAAAGAGGTAGGCCAACCAAGAAAAGAAGGGCTGATGGTAATGATAAGAAGGCTATGGGAGGAAGTGTGAGCAGAAAGGGTCAGCTTAAGATATGCAAATTGTGTGGGGGTAAAAATCATAATAAAAGGAGTTGCATCAAAAGGGCTAGGGAAAATTCTGGTGCTTCTAGACAGGTATATTCTTATTTTCATCATGTTATGCATTAGATTTCATAAAATGTAATGTTAATTGGTTTTGTACATCCATGACAAATTTGCAGCAATCTCAGCCTACTGGTCCATGTCCATCTCAACCTACTGATCCATCTCAGCCTACTGGTCCTGTTGAAGGCTTTTTCCACAACACTGGCCCTCAAAGATCTACTCAGTAAGGCATGTTCTGCTTGTTTTGAAATGGCCTTTCATTGCTTGTTTTTTTTTTTTTTTTTTTTTTTTTNNNTTTTTTGGTTTTGCTAGAATGAACCAATATTTTGTTTCTTAGCCATGGTGGTTAGTTGTTTTGTTTAAGTTGGATGTGGTATGTATGTTGGAACAATTTGACCAGTCTTAGCTATGGTGGTTAGTTTTTTTGTTTAAGTTGGATGTGGGTACAATTTGACCAGTATTTTGGATATGATATAAGGATTTGGTTGGCTGTTTTGCTATATGTTTGTTTATTTCTGTTTTGGCCTATGTGTTTTGGCATATGTTGTAGTTCATGCATTCATTTAATCTTGAATTTCATTTAAAATAGAGGCTTACACTATCAAACATTACATTCTACAATTACTTGAGAATGATAACAGCTACAAGGATTACAATAACAAAAAAAATCACTCCTTCTTTCAAATTTCTCCATCCTTGAATGTATATCTTTTAGAATGGAAGTGACTTCAGGAATTGGTTCATTTGCTAAATTTGCTGCAGTTGATACAACTTCATCATCATCTTCATCATAATCTTCATCATAATCTTCATTTTCATGTGCACACGGCTTCACCCAATTCACTGTCGTAGGTTTAAACCAAGCAAAAAAGCTACATTTGTTGTTTGGACAATTGCAAAATAGCTTTCCAACCGTTCTTTTTGTAGGACCAACTACCCTGATTTGTGCATACACATTGCAGTAACACTTTAGATATCGGTATCGTAAGTCCAAGTTGTCAATCTTCTCCATCTTCGATTTTTGGGACATTTTCAACTTACAAATTTGAAATCCAAGCTTTCAATCTTTACTTGTCTTTGAATCTGGGAAAAAAGGTAAACATACAGGAAGAATTGAAAGCTGGAAAGCTTTGAATTTCAAAGCTGAAAAAAAAGTTGTGAAAAAAAAAGCTGTGGAAAAAAAAAATTGCATACCTTTTTTCTGTGTGATTTTTGCTCCCAGGTGGTCGAATTTAGGGGGAAGAAGAACGAAATGAGAGGCGCGCTATTTAAAGAGGCTTACTAAGGGTAAAAATGTCTTTTAGACACAATAACGGTAAAAAACTATCAGTACACTTGCTCATTCAGCGCGTTTCATACACACGCGTTAACTCAAACGGTCGGGGGGAATTCGCGCAAACGGAATTAAAACCTAAGGGGGTATGGTGCAGTTTTTAAAACATATGGGGAAAACGCGCACATTTATGAAAACACATGGGGGTTTGGTGCAATTATCCCTTTAATTTAATATGTAAGATATGGTTTGCATTTGCATACATGGAGAGATTCTACAGTTCCATTACTGAACCATTATATCGGAGTTTGTAACCGTTAAATCAACTATTCACAACTTTACATAATGATCTAACGGTTACAATACAAATCCCAACAGAATGGTTTCGTAACGGAATTGTAGCATTTCCCTATACATATATTAACAATTTTAAAAAGAAAAAAATTGAAATTGCCTAAGAGTGTTTTTTGTTCCCCACTAAAAATGTACAGTCTTTTGGCCCACACCACAAAAGCAAAAAGCTGATAACTATACAAAATGATTAAATGAAGAAAAATAGAAAAAAAAAGGGGGAAAAAGTGCCTATTAGATGGCGCACCACCTTCTCCTGCACCATCTCCCCACAAGATCCGAGCTCAAAACCCATCAGCCATATCAGTTACAAATTTTTGCTCTCTCTCTCTGAACAGAGCTCCAATTGCGTGGCCGACTTTGCTACTGTTCGTCGGGCTGTTCATCGGAGCTCATCTCCTCCGATCAGAATTTTGTTCCTCGTCGAAAAACTTAGCAGAACATTTGGTTCGTTGTTGACGGAAAACAATGGCGTCGGTGGCCGGTGGCCGAGAAGTGCCGACGTGGCAGCCTCAGGAGGAGGGCGTGCGGGAGGTATGTGCTCTTCTGGAGAAGCAGATGGCTCCGACCTCCGACGACAAGTCGGTGATTTGGCAGAAGCTGAAGCACTACTCTCAGTTCCCCGATTTTAACAATTACCTCGCTTTCATTTTGGCGCGCGGGGAGGTATTTTCTTGTTTTTCGAATCTGGTGCTCACTAAAGTTGTTTTTAATTCCAGTTGTGACAGGTCGATGAGTTTGTTGATTGGTGCTTTTTGAAATGGTGGTGCTTTGAAGTTGTAGTTGCCAGTTTTAAGACCCGGCCTTCTTGAGGTTAAGAGGAATCATTTAGTTGTTTTGACAGTGTTGTTGCTATATTAACAAATCTGCTGGATATTTCTTTGTGAAAATGGTTGTGACTGGGCTCTTCCAATTTTCAGTATTTTGCATTGATGCCATTAAAAGTGAGTCAAAATTTGGGTTGCAGAATTTATTTTAAATAAAAAAAATTAAGTAAAAGGTTACTCTTACCAGTTACCATTACATTCAGGGCATGTTACCATTACATTCAGGGCATGTGGCAGGAACTTCAATTAAGGATAATGGAAAATGTTATTGAGATTATGGACCTTGAATTTTGACATGGAAATAGTGAGGAATATAGGCTGATTAATGGGAAATTGCACAGAAAGTTGGTGGCTTATGGGTTTATATTGATATTTGGATGTTCAGTGGTTTAGTATAGTGTAAATTCAACGACGATAATCCGGTTAAATAGTTCAAAGATGGTTGGCATCTTCAACTATGCAACCACGATATTGTTATGTTGGCATACTGTTGTGTGATATCTCTCTACAAGGTCTGAAATCTCCATTCAGATGCCAACCGGCACTGGAATAGTAAATGAAAAAATGTGTGTGAATGCCATGTAACAGGGGAAATCGGTGGAGGTAAGACAGGCAGCAGGTTTGCTTCTGAAAAATAATTTGAGAAGCGCATCCAAAACCATGCCACCAGCAAACCGACATTACATAAAATTAGAGTTGTTATCTTGTATGGGAGCTCCAGATAAGCAAATTAGGTCCACAGTCGGGTCAATCATCAGTACTTTTGTTCAGATTGGTGGAGTTTCGGACTGGCCGGAGTTGCTTCATGCACTTGTCAAGTGCTTAGATAGTAATGATGTCAATCACATTGAAGGTGCAATGGATGCCTTGTCAAAGGTATGCAGTTCTTGCTTTTCTAGGTTATGGAGAATAAGTATATAAATAGCTTTGGGACAATTTCTTTTACACCCCGACCTGCAGATATATTAAGTTTTTCACCCCGCCCGCTACCAGACTAACTTTTTCACCTTGGAAAATGCGAAGGTTATACGAATGGTTCGCATAACTGTCGCGCATCAGTCTCATATTCACACTAGGAAGTGCGAAGGGTTATGCGAATGCCTTCGCATTTTTAACTTCACACAATGTCATTTGCACAATTGTCGAATAATGCTTTCGAACTTTCTGGAGTGAAAAAGTTAACTTATAATCCCAGTGGTGTGAAAAACTTATTAGAGTAAATAACTATTTCCTCAATAGCGTATCCCACCCCACCCCACCCCACGTTTTTCTTTTTTTGTTTTTTATTTTTTGTTTCGCTCCTCTTTCACATGCTACTCTGGTTTAAATGTTATTTTGTGAATACTACCACACCCTTGTTTGCAATGTAATTGGTGCAAGGAGTTTTGAAGGAGCTGTCGGTGTTGGTTGTCTTTTGAAAATGTAAATGTGATGAGCCAGTATTTCATAAAAAAGCTGCATATTTCTCTTTCCTTTTCCTTTCTTAATCTTTTAATTTGTTGTTAAACTGAAATGAAGTTATCTGAATGACTGTAGTTATGACATTTCTAAATCTGAAGTTGAAACAAATTTATGTTGAAAAATGCATAACTCATATATCATCATTTGATGTAGATTGGTGAAGATGCTCCTCAAGTTCTAGACTGTGATATACCTGGACTATCCGAAAGACCAATTAATGCTTTCATTCCGAGATTTCTACAGGTTCTGAAGACCCCTTTCATTGTTACCCTTTTTTCACCTTATGACTTCCTTTCCTTTCCATCCACTCACCACAGAAAGGAAGAATTAAGCATGGTTAAGGATACTAACGATAATATTAATATTGTTATACTTTGTTCGCAAACAGTTGTTTCAATCTCCACATGGTACTCTAAGAAAACTATCATTGGCTTCAATGAATCAATACATTATGCTAATGCCTACGGTGAGTAAGCTTAACTATTTGAATTTTTCAAATCAGTCCCCTGTTTTGGGCAAGAATTTCAAACGTGAGCGGAAATTTATTGTCATAAATTTGGTAAATATTTGCAGGTTCTGCATTTGTCCATGGATAAATACTTGCAAGGTTTATTTGTTATTGCTAATGACCCTACTCCAGAGGTTCGGAAGTTGGTAAGCAACACTTTTTCAATTGTTTATTGAATAGATAAATGTTAAAAATTGTGTCACTCGTAAGTTGTAAGGCAAAAGATGTATCTAGCAGTTTATCCATTTGTTGTGATAACTAAATTGATTTCCTTGAACATGTGCTCTTTTCAATTACTTGTGCCTCTTCAGATTATTAATGACATTTATATATTACAAGTGTGTCGCTA